AATGGCAACGACTAGGCTAAGAGATTTAGACCTGAGAAAAATGCATAAGATTACTAGATATTGCAGCTTAATTTCGTTCAAATAAGCAATTGTTAAGCGTAAATTACTAATAAGTCATATACTTTTGCTATAAAAAACGAAATGTTTCTGAATTTAAGGATTAAAATTTACGAGTGAATTTTACCACGATAACAAAGTAAGCTTTACCTTTTCATTGAATTTAACACTGTCTTGTTTCCCAAAAGGTTATACCGCTGTTATGACCTCTCCTGGGTCTCGTTAGTACCCCGAGCGAGAATAGAACTCGGGTAGTATAGAACATAGTTTCAACGCGGTAGCTACTAAGCCACACCTGCATAGAGCAAACGTGAACTTTGAGGAGGGCCATACCTTTCCTAAATCAAATTGCGGTATTGGGATTGTCGAATAAGTAAGATATTTCAATTACGAGTAGGTTCCGAGACAACCGAAATATCATAGATAAGAGCTGTATTTACAATATTTCGCGTAAGCAGTGAATTGCAGTTCCTTCAACACTTTAAACAAAATAGGGTGAATACATATCTTATCAAAGATCAACTGGTAGTCTCAAAATCTACTCAATATCGAAAATAAGTAGTTTAGTTGAAGGTATGATAACCAGGATTATGAGCCTTTTTACATGGTCGCGGTCTCCTTTAGTTGTATAGAAGTTGTTTGACTTTGTTTTATACAACTTTGCCATTTTGGCAGGAAGACCTAGAGGAACGCATCTAGTCCAGAGTTCATTATATGCATCATCATTTCCAGAATCTGACCTTGTACTCGGTACATTCCCAGATGCTTCGCCGACATCGTCAGTGAGCCTTGCAAGTCTTAGCACCACACTACAACTTGTCATAGAGACAAACAAAGTGGATCCATTGACCAATTGTCTGCTAAACAGTCCTGTCCTGGGCTTAATCCAAAATCCTCTCCCTTCAAGTCCTATCAGAGTCTCCCTCTTGTTCCGTAGGATCCTTCCCTTATCTGCCTGTTTCAATGATTTCACTCTATCGCTGCCACCGCATCCGTGCTACTCAAAGCGTTATGTTCTACACTCTGTCTCTAGCCTTTGATAGCACGTATACACCAGCCTCATTGAGCAAGCCCCTAAAGTCCGGATTCTCAATCGGCATGGCAACCTAACTTGATGCTGCAGGTCTCCTTATCACTGTGCAAACAAACTAGATTATTGAGGAGTCTATAGCATCAAATGCGGCAACTGTGAGCAGAAGTTTATTGGTGAACCAGCAAGAAAAATCAGCCTACGAAGAAAGGAACACCAAAGACTCTGCAGAAACATGGAAACTGAACGATCGGAAATAGTGGAACACATCGCACGGATAATTCACGAAATTGAGTGGAAATCAACAGAAGGGCTGGCTGCATATGGTGGAAATACAAAAAATCGCAGGATACGAAAATCCATCAATATTCTGACAGAAAGAAATCTAATGTTTTGTATATAAGCAGAGTTTCGAACTACCAATGAAAAAGATACTTGAAGAATGCAGGAATAGGGAAAACTTTGCCTACTGCCTAAGCAAACCCAGAGAAGATCAGGGAACAGAAATATAAGGAAAAAAGACAACTGTTCAAGGTAATATAGTTAATTTTAGAAACTGAATTTACAAGAATACAAGAAAGGAACAATCAGAAACCAAGAGAAGACGTCTACAGTGAGTCTATTCAAATCAAGTAGAACCATCGCATTTGGAGGTCGGAACGCAAGATAAAGTCAAAGACTTGGCACTAGCGATATAAGAGCGAGAGGTACGGTGGAGACTATTGATAGTTTGCAATTAATAGATGAGTATGCTCAGAGACGTGGTCCATAATGTAAAGGCTTGAATACAAGATTTAGTAGATGCACATGCCGCACATTGATAATGAAATCTGCAGCGTCGAATTAGGTTGCCATGCCAACTGCTAATCCAGACTTTAAGAGCCTGCTCAATGGGGCCGGAGGATACCTGCTATCTGAGGCTTGAGGCAGAATGTAGAACATAACGCCTCGGATGCAGTGGCAGCGATGGAGTGAAATGACTGAAACAGGCATATAAGGCAAGGATTGTACGGAGCAAGAGAGGGACTCTGATAGGACCTGAAGGGAGAGGATTGTGGATTAAACTGCAGCTTTGGATCAGCGATCTCGGCAAAGTGGGAGGGATGTGGAGACCAGCGGGGAGTGTGAATGTTTCAAATAGTTTAGATAAACAAGTAAGAAATTATGATACCGAAGGTGTGATACGAGGATTGAGGATAGGTGAACACAACAAGAAAGCAGAACAGAAACCCCAACTATTTGGCTCATTGGCGATACCGGCGAAACTTCTGGGAATATACCAAGTCCATGGTCCGACTCTGGAAATTATCATGAATACTATGAACTCCGGACAAGGTGCGTTCCTCTAATTCTTCCTGCCAATATGATCAAGTTGCGAAAACAAGGTCAAAAAACTTTTTTTATTTTTGTATATAAGTAGAGTAAATCGCACCAAAGGATGTGATATGACAAGAGGCCTGGCTTTCCTTGAAATTGACATCTGCCCTGTGACCCAAGGGCACTCGTGGAAATTTGGCCTAGCTCATATGTTGATAAGGCCTATGCGAGCTCGAAACTGCAGTGCATCCTGGATGAGAACAACTTTTAGGAAAGCAAGGCTCTGTGAAATTCAATGGAAGCCTCAGCTCTGCTCATACCATTGTGGGGAAATTCAACTACCAGTCCTTCATCACCTTAAACTAAATAGAGTGAATACTTCTCTTATAACTTCTATTTTAGTTGGTACATTTTGACTAATCGACAATTTCAATACGAAACTGTGATATGAAAAAGACCTGGCCTCTCTTGAAATTCATATATATCCTCTGGCCCAACTGCATTCGTAGCAACGTGACGTACTGGTGAGCGTGTCGAGATTTTATGCCGTACTACCCAGGTTCGAGTCCCACTAGGGTGATGATGAAACTTAGGCGAGGTCGAAACAACAGCCCATCCTGGATGAGAATAACTTTTGGAAAGCAAGGTTTTGCGAAATTCTATGGAAACATCAGGTTTGAAATCGCATTATCAATCGTTGAACCTTCTCTGATGAATACCTGACAAAGAGGTATTGGTGATCTTGTCGTTTATGAGGGCAACCTAAGGCCAGTTCATAACATTATGAGAAAAGCTCCTCTATCGCTCCCTAAATAACCTTAGGTTGACTAATTTCTTATTTTAAATGTTTAGGCTGCTTGGATTAAATGGTCGTTTTCTACAAAATGTTTAGTAATTTCGAATGTAAACTTATTAAGCAGAAAAGTAAACAATTTCATCTTGAAAAATAGCATGAGCATTCAGTATGTTTTAATCAGTTCTTTTTCCTCTTGTCTCTTGATTGAAGAGGAGTTGGTGAATACAATTAAGCAGGCTGATTCATCTCTGTTCATGTGTTAACTGACCTGTGCGCACTGGCGACACCCATCCAGAGTCGAGCTGCTTGAGTTTGTGCTGAACTTGGCTCAATAGCGCGGGCCAGGCGGTAGGAGTGGCTAGCATGTTCAACCGCTGCTTCATCCGTCCCACTTGGTAGCAAGTGCAGCCCGGTGACTTCCCTTTCTGTTGACGTTTGTTCTGGGTCTAATTTGCCCAGAGCATTCACCTTTTTATCAGCTGAACTTGAAAAACTCTCATCCCATACGGCCGTCGAGACAAGATCAGATGCTTTTGGCCTCTTTACAATTGAAAAAAAGCGGGCCAGGGCTAAATGGGCAATGGCCAAGTGTTGAGGCTGGTCGGTCTTCTTGGCAGTTTCAAGGAAATGTTGCAATATATATTCACAGTCGGATAAACGTCCCTGTCTGATGGAAGAATACATAACTCAAGAAAATATATAGGCTCAACCGAAAATAAAATTTGATAAGAGCACGTCTTTTATTAGCAAAATTTCAACAATTAATGAATAAGAAAAATAAGTTTTGATGGTAGATAGATAGCACTGTCTTTTGGAATAAGCATCATTAACGGATTTTCTAAAACATGATGCCTTTATAGGATTCGATAGCAACTATAAAGTGATAGCCGACGGAGCCCGATTTGACAAGCCTAGAGAATATTATAGTCATTTTGATAGCTAAGCATGCATGCTTTCATAGCTTCCTTCATCTTGACTTTGAAAGTACTCTGTAAATGAGATAGAAGATTTTGTATTTGTTAAGCTAAACATTTTGTTTAATTGTTTTAATGAAGAAAACCACCAGAAGCCATCAATAATATATAAATCGCCAAATCTTTGGTGAATTTTGCACTCAATATAGATTCAGGGACCTCATCAAGAGCTGCATATTTCTACCTGCATCTTTGACTATTCTTGGGTAAAGCAGCCCGTATCAAATGTGAATGTGGCTTCAGTATCATTTGCTTAAAATTGAAGCTTCTTGGGTTTTGAAATAAGGAATGAGTTAAGAATAGCCAAAAGCACCGCTAAAAAAGCCCGTCAATGTGTCTGTCCTCCGAATTTTACGCTCTTAAGCTATTGTTTCTTTGCCTCAAAAGATCTAAAGGCTTGAGTATGGTAATTTAATGGCAATTTAACTATGCTGAGTCTGGAACCTAATTAATAGACGATGTTTGAGTCGCTCAGCTTTAAAATTTATAAAGTAACATAATTGTATAAATGTGCTGTAGTTTCAGGACAAATCAGGGATTGCCTCCTTAGGTCGTGTCGGCGACTACAGCTGGAAGCCCATCCTATTCAAATTGAAGGGCAGAAGCGTGAAGAAACATAAACGACTCATTGGCCAGACAGACTCTCGAACTTTAAATGTAGACACGACCAGATTAATAAAATATTACTACTACTACTACTACTAGTAGTAATAATAATAATAGGAAATAAGGCCAAACGTAAGGTCACACTATTTTGGTCTTCATATATACAAGTAAAGAAAACGAAATAAAAAAAATAAGATGTAGTCACCCTATTCCGTTTAAGGATCCCATAAGGATATGAGTAAACCTTACGTTTCCATTGAATTTAACATAGCCTTTCTTCATAGAAGGCATTATCCTCCAGGCTGGAGTAGACTGCACTTTTAACCTTGCCTAGTTCTCCTCAGCATCCCCAGCGTAACTCGAGGCATGGTAGTTAGCGTTCCTTAAAATGCACATATATCTTGTGACCTAAGAGCACTTGTGTAAATGTGGTTTTGTGGTTGACGTGTTGATAGTATACGCTACACTTTCATAGTTCGAGTTCCGTTATGAGACCAGGGCGAAATCTAAACTACAATCCAACCTAAATAAAAATACCAATGGAAAGTAAAGCTATGTGGAATTAAACGTAAGCATGAGGTCTACTTATATCATTGTGGAAAAATTCAACTACCAAACCTTCATCACCTTAAGGAAATACGGTGAATACATCTTATATATATGATCCACTGGTAGTCTCGAAGTCTTATTAAACGAGAAATAAAGTTAAAAAGTGTTGAGAATATACTTGGCTGGGCCGAATTTATTCCTTAGCATTTCATGAATATTTTAAATTAGAGCATATGTTATTAAGGAACTGACATTTTAATCTTTCCAAGTAGATATCAGTAGGGCTTACGATTCCAGGGAATTTCCCCTAGTTTCATAGTGTTGGTTTGACCTCGTTTTCGCAA